TGTGTTTTTAGCTGTTTAGTTTTCACATTTTAAAATCACATTTTACTGCAGCACTTTGTGTGTGTGTGTGTGTGTGTGTGTGCATGCGTCCATTTTTTCTATTTGATATGTGATTGTGATAAATGTTGGCAGTTGCTTTAAAAATATGCTATATACCATGAGGGTCAAACTCCAAGTTCCTGGAGGACTGCAGCGCAGCAGAGTTTAGTTCACACCCTGCTTCAACATTACCTGTAGATTTCTAACAAGCCATAATTAGTTGGATCAGGTGTGTTCAGTTAGAGTTACAGCTTAAAGTCCCAGTCACACTGCACTTTTCTCCCTTTAGACTTCCATTCATGCGCATGTGAATGCTGCAGACCTGGAATGCTAGCTCATGCGAAAGATTTCAGTGTTTGCAGCATTGGAAAGTTCAAACTTGGAGATCTCTGACCTGCAAAATCACATCATGTGATTGCTTGAGACCAATCAAAGATCAAAACATGACCTGTCTGAACAAAAATTTTAACTATGGACCGACTATAAAAAGTCGCTTGCTTTTTAGACGATATTTATATCTGCTGATTTCTTAATTTTGTTTTACATTTTCTGTTGTATATTTGTTTGCTGCCAAAACAAAAAAAATACATTTGTCTAAATTTTTATGCCTTTTATTTTTAATAACAGGTAAGAATACGAATTAATTTTAGTAAGACTATGACATACTATTAATGTGTATGCAGTATAATGCTGTGAGTTGTAACACTACAGTACTGTAATTAACTGTACACAGTTTCCAGTTAGTTACCACTACTGCTCTATTACAGTAATTAACTGGCAACACTGTTGCCAGCTACTCACTATAATGGTTCGGTTACAGTAAATAACTGGCAACACTGTTGCCAGCCACTTACTGTAATGGTTCATTTACAGTAATTAACTGGCAACACTGTTGCCAGTTACTTACTGTAACCAAACTTTTACAGTGAGTAACTGGCAACAGTGTTGCCAGTATTCTACTTTAAAAATGCCCGGTAAGGTCTAACAGTGTAGGCATCGATACCGTTTACATTAATGGTGACAGATTATGGCTTAAGCACCAAACAAGTGGTTTAAATTATGTGCTAGTCTCCTTAATTCTTTCCGTTTTATTATAAATAATATACATATTTAAGGTTTTAGGTAAGACGAATGTCCACACATGCAAGCTAAACTAAATCATAACCAAGTTATCACACTTTAATGTTCACCCATCAGCATTAGAAAAAAAAATGTTACAACTGAATGTCATTTTAAAAAAGTTATTAAAATGATGTGTTACTTAGTTACATTTTAAGGCATTAGTGTAGCAAAACAGAGCCTGTCTAACTATCTCCTTAGATTATCATTCAGCCTGCAGTGCATGAGGTGGATCCGCGGTCAATCCACATACATACTCACTATATACCTTTTTAATTTATAACACTGAAAACTTGACTTCGCAGGCCGATCATCTTTAAACTCAAAAGGCATTTTTTAAGTTTCCCATCTTGAGATTGCTGCTGTATAACGGGATGTTTCTTTACACAAATGTAAAAGTGAGTTTTAGTGGTGTCAAAATGAAAGCAAATATTTTTAAGTGTTCTGCGCTTTGTCAGTTTTATAGCTTAGCTAATAATAATAATAATAATAATAATAACAATAATAATGAATATAATAAATTGTAATATTATTTATAGTGTAGACCTTTCTTTAATATTAATCTCTAACTGAAAAACTCATATGAAAATGATTGGCCGGCAGCTGCGTCTCTGCCAAAATTAATTTAACGGCAAATTAATTTTACACATTGCTTAATACACACAGGATGTACAGCAATACGCAAATATCTTTACAAATAAAAAAGAATTAAAGGATTAAAATATTACAAAAAATATTTTTTTTCTAGCCTACATAAATATAAAAACAATGTCTTCATCCTTTCATGTCGGGGGGCTTTTTTAGTTTATTCATGACAATTTGCTTTTGTATAATGTTATTATTATTAGCAGTATTATTTATTATATGCATATTTATATTTGTTTTATTAAAAACAAGCTTAAATTTGCCCACCTGTCAGGTTTTAGACCATATGGGGCACAGCATGTGTATTTGGATATAACTCAGTTTTTTTTTAACACACTTTGTTATTATTGTTCAATTATCTGTTTGCTGGAAATTAGAACTTAGTTTAGAAATAGTTTTTAAACAAATCTTTGCGCATAACAAACTAACTTAATTATGTATAGGCTAATGGATGTCTGTGTAAACAACACATTTGCCTATCCACGAGAGCGAAAATGAAAGTAAAGAATGAGGAGGCTCATCTCTCATTCTCCTGCTGCAGATGCTCTGTTTAACTGTTTTCTTACTAGTGAAATGCTCAGTTTTTCCACTTACAAAGTCTGTCATGCAAATGGCAAATGCACTATGGCACAAAGGGAATGGGGGAAGACTCTGATTGGTTTATTCTCAAAACACCCCTTTAACTCATTAAGAGAATAAGCTCAACCCTGTTAACCATGTGCCATAGCGCAAAGTGGATTTTTTCCATCCTTATATTAGCAAAAGTGGATTCAGACACACCCATAATGCTTTTGCGCTTTGGGCCTGGATCCTCAAAATAGAGCCCTTGGGGTTCATTGTCATTTTCTTTCATCACACGAAACGCACACAGACATGAGGAGGAAATAAGTCATAATCATAAGACAATCTTTAATCTAATGACTTTTATTAAAAATGTTGACAGAGATTTTGTGAAATAATAATAGCAGCGGAGCATAAATTAAATGTATATTTCCTGTGGAGCGATCGATTTGAGGTAGCCTGATATTTTTGTTTGACAGAAGAAAAAAAAAAAAAAAACATGATTGGACAAACAGCAGACCCTCAGCGTCATCCACTGGACCAGCTCCTTCTTCTGGTCTAAATGTCTTAAAAAGAAACCGTTTGCAGGAGTTTGCTTACAACCCAGAATAAAAGGGAAAAAAAGTGATAATGGCATTGATTTCACTTCTAATCTTTAGTTTAGCAGTTCAGTTCTTTAGCATTTTATAGCACTTGTTGTTTAAGCACTTTAAGCACTTGTTATTGTTTAGAAAAACACTTTATTTGACAGTATTTTTAATTAAATGCTGCAAAGCATAATCTCATTTCTCATTCTCAGTTTACCAGTTTTTTTATCACTGTAAGCTCTTGTTTCTTTATTTTTGTTATTATCGTCAATATTTAAGCTTTCTCTGCAGTTTCTCTCCACTACCACCCCCCTCCCGCTCCCGCCATTTAAAGTTCAGGCTCAGAATTTTTTTTTTACTTTAACCCCTGGGGGTCTGGCTGCAGACTCGGTGCAGTGCAATTTGAGCTGCATCCAATGCTTTTTAATGTGCTCACCTAACCCCACCCCTAACCGTCACAATAGCGTCACTAGCTCCATTGAGTCTGACATTGCATCACTGAGTGATGCAAGCTGAGCTTGCATCATAAAGACTGCATCCAGATACGATTGCTTTCATCACGTGTTGGCATTGTCTTCTGAGGTGCAGGTCATCTATTAAATAAAGAAAGCATTCACACAGCTTCTCCTGCTGCAGCAAATTTCATTTTTTACCTTTTGGTGTCAGTTAATCAGGAAGTGATGATTTTGTTCTCTTTGACTCGTTGGATAGAAACACCGCTTCAGTCGCACGTCTTTTAAGCAATATTCCTGTTCTGCATCTTTGGATGGAAACAGCTATTGTGTGCCTCCTGCATTACCATTCTGGTTTTCACAATCATTTTAATCAATTTTTCACGTGAATTCATTACTTTGTCTTGCACCGGTTATACACAAACGACTTGATACAAATCATAACCTCAGTTTGGGGTTGTTAGTTGACAGAACAGGCACCATGGTTGTTGAACAGCTCATCTCCTTTAAGGTTTGAAATGTTAGTTTAAATATGTTTTTTCTGCAAAACACAGTTGTGACCAGGGAATAGGTTACCCCTGAACTTATACTAGTCTAGCCCAGGGGAGTTACTAGAATCAAATTTCCCAAAATAGAGTGATATGGACATTGTGGCACTTTAAATGCACATAATGCCTGTTTTATGAATGCCATATATGCCTCATAAAAGTTCCAGGACCATGCCAGGAAATCCCTAATATGGATGAAGGCATCCAGCTTTTGCTATAGTTCAAAGGTGTTCAAACTGAGTGCTGAAGAGCTGGTGTCCTGGAGAGTTTAGCTCCAACCCTAATCAAACACACACGAACAAGCGAATCAAGCTCTAACTAGATATACTTGAAACTTCCTGGCAGATGTGTTGAAGCAAGTTGGAACTAATCTCAGCTGGTCACCGGCCCTCCCAGACTGAGTTTGGACACCCCTGTGTAGTTGAACGAATGAAAATAAGAATTGAAAAATAAAATAGATTACCACATCTAGAAAATCTCAAAAGCAGATGCTCTATCAGCAACAAACATTCGTAGCAAAATAGAGAGAGAGAGAGAGAGAAAAAAAAAAAGACACGTTACCACTTTAGCTCTCAAAAAAAAGTCTTTAAAAAGTAACGTTTCCTTTCATTTATATTAATAAGACATATTTTTTTTTATTACAGCCATTGACCAAAACTGCACACAATTTTATACTGCGAAAACAAATATTAAGCTTAATCTGTACTTGGTTTCGTTTATCAGTTGTACTATTTTCCCCATCAGCTTCAGCTTTTCAAAATATTGAATGACTGTAGTAAACTTGCCTTGTGATAAGTCCCACTCCCACCTGCTGGTGGAAATGGGTACTGCTGAACAGCTGACTAATACCCGACACAAAAGCGGTGTTAAATGAAATGCATGTGATGTGGTAATTTTTAGTACTTAGATAAAATTATAACCTATTTATTTATAAATAAATGCAACATGTTCCAAAAGATTAAAGGCTTAAGCCCCCAAAGCCTTAAGTCATCTTATGAAAAGCAAAAAAATGCCTCAAAGGCCATCTATACAAAAGAAAAACAATTTTTGAACAGTACTGTGGGTAAACAAATGGGCATCAACTTCTCTCAAGAACAGAATGTTTGCATTTTAAAAGGATTTATTGAAAGTCTCAGTCTCTCTCTCTCTCTCTCACACACACACACACACACACACACACACACACACACACACAAGGCCCATGAGTAATCTTTGCAAGTACAGTCTTAAAGACTTGTTTTTAGTGCAGCCAATGTGGAGGAGATGCTGACAAAAATTAAGCTTAGGAATTCAAATCAATGGGTCCTCTGAGCTGCAAGAGAAGAGAAACCATTAAATTTAGACCATACTGTAAGTCTCAAACTTGATTCCTGGAGGGACGCAGCTCAGCAAACTTTTGCTCCAACCCTAATCAAACACAACTGATCCAATCAATCAAGGTGTTCAAGACTACTAAAAACGGCTAAGCAGGTGTGAGTTGGTTGAACCTAAACTATGCAAAGGAACAGCCCTCCAGGATTTGAGACCACCAATTTAGACATAGCCGATTAGTAAAATAAAAAGTATGCAACTGCACTGCTTCCAACGATACAGTACCTTTGGATGCAGCAAAATTTGACTACCAGGTACTTGTACGTGTCAGGACATGGATCAGGGAACGTGCTGTAGTCCACTCGTATGGAGCATCTCCTCTTCTCATTACATCTAACACACACACACACACACACACACACACACACACACACACACACACACACACACACACACACACACACACACACACACACACACACACACACACACACACACACACAAGCTCAAATTTACCCATTTTTAACTACCATAAATTAATTTCTATACAGATCATGGTGTGTGTCAAACTAACACTTAAAATTGCAAACAATTTGGTTTAACAGTCGATACAAAAATCAGCTAACAAAATGTCACATTATAGTTACTGAAACATTAACAATTTATGAATAAGGTTCCCATCCAGTTTGCTCAAGTTTCACCTTTCAGACACTATGGCCAGTGTTTGGGGTAAATGGCAGTTGATGTTTTGGACCGAACATTTGTCACAAACGCTGCAGAACCTTTTATTAGTTCGTCCATACTTTGCATCAGTTATCTTGATGTTATATTTTTCTATGAAGATAAGGAGTGCAGCAATTTTTTAATAAGTGACATGATTAAAATGGCAGCATTATACATTCAACAAAACTTTAATAGATTGGCATTCAAGCACTTACCAGGACAGCTCAGCTTCAGTTCAAACCCGCCACACCTAATTACTGTTGCTGAAATGAAAGAGTCCAGCTTCAAAGACATTGTCACTTTTAAACGGGGAGATTGCACTGGCCAGCGACTGAATTAAAGCTCTGAATAAGTTTGGTGCAGATAAACGTTCATTCATCTACTCTTGAGAATTCGGAGCACTTGAGTTTCTCAGTGTCTTGACAGCACATGGGTGCTCTTTGCCCATTTATATCAGTGGATGTGCAATGCATGAAATGGCAATATCAGGAACACATACAACATGCATATTTAGACTTTAGCAAATCAGTTGGAGCAAACGAGTTGTAGTAATAATAATAATAATAATAATAATAATAATAATAAGGCTGGAAGAATTAACTAAATTAGCACATTTGGAAAGGATTAGATTTCTTATGGCAAAGAAATTGAAAAAATTTGACAAGATTTGGTCTCCTCTTCTCCTCTATCTTGAAAGCGTAGACTAAAATCCAGATGGTGAAGGTCACACCAACAGTACTGCATAAGCTTCAGTCCCAGGGGTGAGGTGGGTCTTAGGGGTTAGATATTCTGTTTTTTTTTTTGTTTTTTTTTCCTCTCTTAACTATTTTATTTTATTCTATTACAGATAATGTTATTGTTTTTAATTTTTACTTATTTTTATGTGTGTGATATTTAATTTGTTTATTTCTTTTTTGCAAAAAAAAAAAAAACTTGAGATGCTGTAACATCTGCTGTAATGTTGTGCAATGCAATGCAATGAATATCTCAATAAAAAAATTATATAATAATAATAATAATAATGCATCACTTCAGAGTTAAATTAAAGATTAGGTACTTTATTTTACATCATGAATTAATCTGGGATCATAGAAGGACTTACTAGCAGGCATGTTGCAGTCATCTGCAGATATCAGCAGGCTGCAGTTCAAAAGCATTACTGAATAACACAAATGAGAGATTTGATTAAGACACCTGTGCACTGCTAATCTCACACAGATGCACATTATCAACAGCACAACATTTAATCCAGATATAAACTTAACAATAATACAGCTAAAAACTGATGTTCACTGCTCTATCCTTTTTCAATTAAATAAACTTACAGGTAAGAAAGAAACTGTGAAAGAACATGATTCTGCTGACTTACTCAAAAAGTAATTCTATGCTTGACTGATTTCTATTTATAGGTCAGTGGTTTAAGTGGTAATAAGCGACACCTGTGGCCCATTCTCAACTTTGCACCCTTTTTTCACATTTTTAATTGAAATGAATACTTTTGGACTTGGGTTAAAAACAAGAAAACAGAGAGATTCTTGAAATAATAAATTTAGAAAATATTTATAAGTATATATTTATAAATATAGTTATAAGTTTATATAAGTCTTCTCTGTAAATGCTGTATTTGTTTGATTATTATTTAATTTTTTCATTGTTTTATATGCATTTATATTATCATTTAACATGCTGTTAAGTTGCAATCACTGTCATTTTTCGGTGTAGATTCTATTTTTGTATGTTTGTTATCGAAGCATCAAATAAAAATAAAGAATCGATAGATGATCCACATGCAACAATTTCAGATCAATTCATCCAGACATTTTAATCTGAATTAAGAAACTTGGTAGAAGAAGCACATTAGTCAGAGATAAGTTAGCATTACATGATCCAGGATTTGCTAAATTAAGGGTTCTGAACCTTTGGCAAGCTGGGCCCCCCCAAAGCTTGTCCATTGCAGTTTGGGTCCCAGTTTATTGTTATTTATTTATTAACAACATAAATACAGGGAGTGCAGAATTATTAGGCAAATTAGTATTTTAACCACATCATCCTCTTTATGCATGTTGTCTTACTCCAAACTGTATAGGCTCGAAAGCCTACTACCAATTAAGAATATTAGGTGATATGCATCTCTGTAATGAGAAGGGGTGTGGTCTAATGACGTCAACACCCTATATCAGGTGTGCATAATTATTAGGCAACTTCCTTTCCTTTAGCTAGTGATGGGCAAAGCGAGGCTTCATGAAACACTGGCTGTTTCTCAATATGCGTTCTTCAGCGGTCTTGCGTCCTCGTGTTCTCGTGAAACGTCATCATCAGCTGCCTAAGTTCAGTTCCAATACTCAAGACCGCAAGTACGGAGGACGCGTGAAACTTCCCGGATGTGTTCTTGATATCGAGGATGCACCGATGCAGACTTCAGCAGCGAGCTCGCTCTGGAAGTCCCAGAAGTCATTGCGACTGGAGGTGGGAAGCGCAGCATTTTATTTAGATTTATTATTAAAGTTCAGAGATATTACTTATTTACCTCAGGAGTTTCCCTAAATGAAACGGTGAAGGTAAACATTAACATGAACATCTTAATAAAGGAATAAACACATTAATTGTGTTTGTTTGATGAAATTCGTATTAAAATTTGTTTTATTTATATTGTGCAGAGTATATTTATAATGTTTTTATGCAAAGTATATATTTTGAAGAGGGGGGAAACAATAAATCGTTGTATGAAGGCTGTAATGTTTAAATAATTTCCATTTAAAACGCGTGAAGGTCACATGACCATCAGGAAGAACGCAGCATCCCATTTCTCAAAGGACGCGTTCTCTGCCCTCGCGGTCTCCTGAGTTCGTTCTTCCGAGGACACCTGGCAAGACCGCACTCTACAAGAACGCAAGTCCATTCTCTGCGTTCTTAGAATTGAGAAACAGCTACTGAAACAGTTAAAGCAAATGAGTCGAAGCTTCGAAACGTTTCGAAACGCGTATCTACAGTGCCACCTAGCGGTCATTTTAAAATATTGCACTAAAAAGAGCTTCAATGAGAAGCGCTTCGTCTAACAGGTGAATTATATGATATGTTGTGGAACGGTGCAATACAAGCAGTTTGGGGGAGTGGTTAGTGTTCACAACTAAAACGTTTAGACCATGGGTTCGAATCTGACATAAGTAAAAGTCACAAAGTATATCATTATCGTGTTGAACAAGTAATGATGGTGCCACATCTGAATGAGCAGTGATAATAAATACTTTGGTCATAAAATATGAACATTAATGAAAGACACAATGTCAATGTTTTTAATTTTTTTTACAAATAAAGATTTTTATTTAAAAATATTAAATGTTCTGCTGTGGATGGACTAAGCCTGCTTCTTTTTTTACAAATTATTTCTCCAGCCTTTGAAAAAATCCTCTCACAGGGCACACTTGTTGCAGGCATACACAAATACTTTTGTGCAAGCACATACAAATTTGTGAAAATTCTTTCTCTTTCCTTCCAGTATTTTAGTGGATCTTCATTTCTTGGCAAAAACGCATCAGTTATGTATTTTTTTTACTTCAACAGTGGCATCAGCTGTAGCACTGCTTGTCAAGTGGGATTCCCGGACACGGTTATCAAAAAGTTCCCATAAACTGTCCTGGCTTTCTGCTGGTGTTGTTGATGATGATGACGATGACGACGATGATGATGGCATCGATGCTGACAACTGTGGATCTGATGTGGGGAAAAAAAAAATTAATTACAAAGTCTAAACTCATGTCAAACCTATATGAAGTTGCATAATACATGAAAAGTAAAAGGGCTCACCATGACTTGTTTGGTTGCGCATAAGTGAAGCACACTCCATTGTGAGATGCCTTTCAGCCTCCTGGCCTTTGCCAGTATTTCCAAAAGCCACCGTTTTAAACCTTGGGTCTAGCAGTGTAGCCAATGCCAATGTTCTGAAGGACTCATACCCACCACATCTTGACTGGAGTCCTTCTTGCAGGTGTGAGCCTGTGCAAAACAGGAGCAAAGCAGATTAATTATGTTACTGACAACAATATTAAACTTATGGCCAGTGACAGTATGGCTATTGGGGATTACCTAACTGGACAACTGATTCCTGCTTGGCAAGGCCTTTTTTCTCAGTTAGCTTATGCTGCAACATCCGGTAGAGTGGTATTAGCTTTGAGGCTGAGACTCTCTGTTCTTCTGATAACTCAGTTGTTGCAAGTTTGAATGGTTGCAATAATGATATGGCTTCTTGAACAACATCATACTCCATACTGGACAACAGGGCAGTATCAGCCTTTAAACTAGAAATTGCTGCAGCCACTGGCTCTCGTTGTTCAAACAAGCGTTGCAACATGTCATAGGTGCTGTTCCATCTGGTTTCCACTTCTTGTATGAGTTTTAAAGTAGGTCTACCCATCAAGGCCTGCATTTCTTCAAGTTTGTCCTTTGCTTTGCAGCTTGATCTAAACAACCCCACAATCTTTCTGGCTTTCTGGCGAATTTCGCTGACAAGTGGGGTTTGATCTAGGGCCTTTTTCACAATTAAATTTAGATTGTGTGCAAAACATGGAATGTGCCGTAGATGAAGTAGTTGGGCACTTAACATCATGTTGGATGCATTGTCGGTCACCAAACACTGAACTTTGGAGGTTATTCCCCACTCAGACATGAGCAAAGTTTTAGCCTCCATGAGATGCTGTGCAGTGTGTGTTTGGTAAAATCTTACAACACCCAATACAACAGTTGCCATCTTTGCTTCAGGTGTTATAAAGTGGCACGTTACACCAAGGTATCCATCCATATTAATGGAGGACCACATATCCGCTGTGAGGCTAACAAATTGTGCCTTCTGTATGTCCCCCATAATCTTCTCCTTGGTGCTGTTGTATTTTTCCATGACCATTGCTTTAAGTGCCTTGCGAGATGGGAGAACATAGCTTGGATCAAGCTTGTTCACAAAGGCCCTGAAACCCATATCTTCCACAATGGTGAAGGGCTGCAGATCCTTCACCACCATGTCTACAAGAGCCTCATCCAGTTCCTTTTGTCTGCCTTAAAAAAGGAATACAACCTACTTTCAGTAAAATATATTTAAGAGATTTAGCCTGAAATAGCTCAAACACACACAAACAATTAATTTTAAATACAGTGTCATATTTGTCAGGTGTCACATTTAGATATTCACTGTAAAGTTTGTTAATGGGATGTTATATTGCAGGGCTTAGGTTGACGTAAGCTTACGTCTATATGTAAAATAAGAATTTTTTAA